GCCTGGGCCAAGCACGCCCTGGCCAGGTTTCAGGTCAGCAGAAAGTAATTCATTCTTGTTGTGTATTTGAGGAAAGCAGGAGAATCACAGGGCTTTAATGAGCATGCTTAATTAGGGCTTTTTCTGGGGAGAAGAGAATGTGTCCTCTTGATGTCTGTCATAGGAAGAGGAGAGATGAGAATCCTAATGACCCAGGCACAGCAGGGCTCCGTTTCAACCACTGCAGACTTAGCTGTGGGGAAGCTCCATGGTGTCAGGAAGAGCCACTTCCAGTAGGGAGGCTGCCAGAGAAAGGGGGCTCTGTCTTTACAGGAAGCTGTGGCGGGAAGCACGGGTAGAGTATTTTTCCTTCGAGTCAGGATGCATTATTTGTGTTTCAGGTTTTCTAAGCGACCCAAAACACTGCAAGAGGCCTCTTTCCTGTTAGTTGAATGTCACAACTTTCTCATCTTGGCTCAGTAAAATGGGATCAAAGGAAATTGCTGGGGTGATTATTTGTTCCTAGTGGTTAGTACCCCCACGTCCCATAAAAGAGTACCTGAGTTTGAATCCCAGCTTCCCCCCCGCCCAATTCCAGCTTTCTGCTAATGCACACCCTGGGAGGCAGCAGGTGTTGGCTCAAGTGCTTGGGCCCTTGCCACCTGCATGGGAAACGGATTCTGTTCTTGGCTCCTGGCTTTAGCCTCGCCCAGCCCCTGCTGTGGTGGGCATTTGGGTAGTGAATCAGTAGATAAGAGATTTTTCTCTATATGACTGTCTCTGTCTCTCTGCCTCTCAAATGAATAAATAAATAAATAGAAATTGCATATTCAATATAATTCAATTCTACAAGCATGTAATGGGTGTATATTACACACAGGGCAATGGAGGTACTTGAATGTATTGTCTAAAGATGAAATTGACATGGTCCCTGACTTCCTGAAATCCATCCAGAGAGACTTGTAAAGGTATGTAGCACATTCCTCTTGGGGCAGCTATTCTGTTCACAATTTCCTTTTTTCTATATACAGCCCCTAGTGTCCAGAGGAAGGAATCCTCTAGGGAAGCTATACTATGTGGATAACTCTCCAACTTTCATGATAGCAAATTGGTTCAAGGACTGAACCTGGATCTCTCCCTCTTCCTCTTCCTCTCCCTCTCTCCCTCTTCCTCTCCCTCTCCGTCTTCCTCTCCCTCTCCATATCCATCTCCTTCTTTCTCTCCCTTTCTCTCTCCTTCTCTCCTTTCTTACTTAGAAATAAGAACTAAAGAGACACAGACTGGGTGGGTATCACTGGAGTCACATCACATTTATGATAGTATTTTGGGCAGAAGGTCCATGAATTAAAAGCTAATTTTTTCCTTTCCAAATTCAATATTTGCCTATGTAATGGAAGACATGTAGCAATCATTCTCAATAATTACCCTTTACCTGAATTTGTTTGAGTTGACTTCCAGTTACCTACATCCAAAGATGTCTGATTCATATAAGTAATATGATTTAAGAGGGTGATCAGTTGAAAATCTGTGGAAAAAGCAAGAGAGAGGGGGCAGAAGAAGAAAGTAGATCAAATATATCTAAATGCTTTTCACAAATATAAAGAGAAAATACACATATAGTTATATTCATAGAACAGAGCTCAGAAAGCCAAAGATGCCATACATTGATGAGCATCTTGGCAAATATTAACAATATGGTAGAATAAAAGGAATTATACTTGAGAACCAGAGGTGATTTTCTGGTTTAGTTCTAATACTAAAAGCCAATGTGGCCTTGGACATGCTGCTTCCTCTCTCTAGTTCTTAGTTTCAGTATCTATAAAATATAGAAGAAAAATATAACCATTTCCATGGTCTGTTCTAACTTTCTGATCATTGATTGGTAGAAATGATAGATTGTGATATCCAGATAAAAAAGCAATAGTAAAAATAGGTCCAATGCCCCAAAGGATGTAGAACAAAGAAAGGATTAAAAAGGATTTATGTAAAAAAGTTATAATGGTCAACCAATACATTTGCCATAGATTTTTCCAAGTAAAGCTTAATGGGAGAATGCTAATATCTATGCAAACATATTTTGGTGTTATGCTTGATTTGTCCTCATTAAAAGAAAGTGTGGTTCAGTTCAACTCAATAAATATGTAGCACATACTAAGTCCTCAATACTGTGCTATGCATAAGAGATTGGAAGATGAACCATGAGAATTCCTGCTGTCAATCAGGGGTTGTTTTATATTGTTAACTCTCTCAGATTGTTTCATTCATCTCCTTTTAGTGTACGTATCTGACAATTTTTCAATTGAAGACACCATTGCTGGGGCTGGTGTTGTGTTGTAGCAGGTAAAGTCACTGCCTGCAGTGCCTGCATCCCATATGGGCACCAGTTCTAATCATGGATGCTCCATTTCCGAACCACTTTCTGCTGTGGTCTGAGAAAGCAGTAGAAGATGGCCCAAGATCTTGGGCCCTGCACCCACAAGGGAGACCCAGAAGAAGCTCCTGGCTCCTGGCTTTGGATAGGCCCAGCTCCAGCCATTGTGGCTATTTGGGGAGTGAACCAGTGGATGGAAGACATCTCTCTCTGTCTGTCTCCACCTCTCTCTGTAACCCTGTACTTCAGATAAATAAAATAAATCTTTAAAATAAAGACACCATTACCAGAAATAAATATTAAGGTAATATTAATAATATCTAAATATTTTGGGTGCTCATTTAATGCTCAAAATGCTGTAAGATTAGAGTTACTATACCCATATTTTTATTTTTTTATTTTTAATTAATTTATTTTTTTGACAGGAAGAGTTAGACAGTGAGAGAGAGAAAGAGACAGAGAGAAAGATCTTCCTTCCGTTGGTTCACTCCCCAAATCACTGCTACAGGTAGCGTGCTGCGCTGATCCGAAGCCAGGAGCCAGGTGCTTCCTCCTGGTCTCCCATGCGAGTACAGGGCCCAAACACTTGGGCCATCCTCCACTGCCTTCCCAGGTCACAGCAGAGAGCTGGACTGGAAGAGGAGCAATCAGGACAGAATCCGGCGCCCTGACCGGGACTAGAACCTGGTGTGCCATCGCTGCAGGCGGAGGATTAGCCTAGTAAGCTGTTGCGCTGGCCATATACCCATATTTTTAAACAAGATTTACTCATCTTACTCATCTGTTTGAAAGGTAAAGTTATAAAGAAAGAGGCAGAGTCAGAGAGAGAGAAAGATCTTTCAACTGCTGATTCACTCCCTAGATGGCCACAATGGCCAGGACTGGGGCATGTGGCCAAAGCCAGGAGCCAAGAACTGCATCAGGGTCTCCCGTGTGGGTGGCAGCTTGGGCACCTGGATCATTTTCCATTTCCCTCCTAGACACATCAGCAAAAGAGCTGGATGCGAAGTAGAGCATCTGGGACTCGAACGGGTGCTCCATGGGATGCCAGTGCTACATGTAGCAGCCCAACCTGATGCTCTACAATGCCAAGCTTCTTATTATCCACATTTTTAGGATGAGGATAGTGAGGTTTAGAGAATGCTTTACCCAAAGTTACACTTCACCTTAGGCATGCCTGCTTTTGTCATCCATGATGGTAGCAGATAATATGAAATATTTTAGTATAGTAACTGTGTTATATCTACTGTGTATGAAGTTTGTACTATGTATGAGAAGCTGGGCTGAATTTATAGGTTAAGGTAACATTTTAGAGCCGAGAAAGACAGAATTTGGCCTCATAATTCTTTGGAACTTTCTAACCTTTGAAGTTATTTCAGAAATGAAAAATATTGACCCAAGAGGTCATAAATTCCTTACCCCTTAGATGTGTTCCCTTAAATTGGATGATCCTTAGAGAAGTTTTAAGTGGATGTGAATCCTTGTACTGGGAAGAGAGAGTTAACATGAAAACCTGGGAGATCACTTGCATTCCTGAGCTACTATGAAAATGCTGAGGTTGGCTGTTTAAGATGTGGCCTAGGGAAAAAAATAACTCAAACCGATCAGAAAACCTGTCAAGGAACATGGAGTATTACCAGGGTTAGCCACGCAATCACATGACTTTTATCTTGCACAGACTGTAAATCAATAAAATTAATGCAATGAATTTGAGCCTGGTTTCTCATTGAGAAAAGAAGGTGTGCAGTTTATCACATACGGACTGTGCAGTAGAAAGGCCTCCTGGAGCTCAAGTCAGCGATTGATTTTTGCTACTTTGCAATGCAAACTCCAATTCCATTATATCTTTTGCAACATGACCCTCCTTGAGTGTCAGATAAAACCCAGTGGTTCAGTGTATTTCCTTAGCCAAGATCATGGCTTAAAACAGAAACAGTTGTTTGGCTACTGAACTTCTACCATCAGACTGGATGCTCCCCCAGGAATACTAAAGGCTTCTCCTGCTTAATTCATTGTCAGCCCTGGGACTTGTCATAATGCATCAGGCGAGCAAGCAGCAAGCCATTTTCTACCTTGAAAGGCCATGAAAGGGACTTCTGAATGAGCATCCCTGGGATTGTGCAATCTTAGATGCGAGCAAGTTTGAGTAAGCATGAGATTGTGTGGGGCCTGTTTGAATGATCAAAAGAGACTAAACAAGGACTGAAAAGTTAGCATTTAGTGTTTCTATTATATAAGATGGCATTTCCTTAGCTTGTCAAGTAGATCATGAGATCCAATCAACCACCACACATACAAAGGGAAACATGTGGAGAAAATTAAATTGCCAAGGTCACATAGCTGGAGGAGCAGAGCTGGGCCTGGAATGAGGAGCCATGGTGTTCACATTGACTACAGAGCTCTTTTCAGTACTCTGAGGCTCACACATCACAGTCCTGTCTGCTGTGTCATAATGCTGGGGTGGAGTCTGAGCTGTAGAGCTGGGCGGTGACTGGCCTGCATGAGCCCTGGGCTGGGACAGGGAGCAGCAGGTATCTGGGCCTAAGGGACTGCTTGCACAGTTAATTAGTAATGACTTCTCAAGGGTCCTGAGATTCCCTTTGATGCTCTGCCTTGCTTCTTTCACCAGTCAGTGTAGGATAAGCCAGGGTCCAAAGCAATGAATCCCTTTTTTAGATGCTTTGGGGACACAGCTGAAGTGTGAGTGAGATCTCCAAGCATGGATTTTCCTGAGGAATTTTATTTCTTCCTAAAGGAGAGTGAGAATAGGTTTGCACACATACTGGAAGAAAAGATGGGGGGAAGTGAGGGAACTCCAGGCAGAGTTGAAAACAATGTTCTCCAGAAGACAAGAACAGAAGTGTCTCCCTTCTTTGCAGTCAAGTGATATGGTGCAAGTTTCCTCAGGCTCTGAGACCCTCTTCTTCCTCCTTCTCCTCCTCCTCGACCATGTCGTTGCTTAGGAATGCTTCTTCGGGAACCCTCAGAGAAAGAGACTGGAAAGAATCGAGAATCAAGGCAAGAATTGAGACAGTTGTGGCAGAAAGAGGTACCACAAGCCCCTCAAGAGGCATTGTGGCCAGAAGTGTGAAAATTCACCTAACATCCTCATTTGGTCATAGTGATAGGGAGGGGAGAATTTTGTAGTGATGGTGAATTCTTGCTTTTATTCTGATGGCATGCAGGCGTGCAAGAGCCTGAGAAATATGGATTATTAAGGTTTAGAAAAAGCAAAGAACATAACGTAGGACAAGAGGCACTGCCTCTCCTTGGTTCTTCCTTCCTCAATGTCTCAAGGCTGCTTCTTAGAAATTTTGGCTTTTCAAGACTGTTCTTGATACCTATCGATTTTTCAATAGGTAATTAATGAGCTATGCAGAGGAAAAGTACATACGACTTGACATCGACTTTAAACCTTTTGGTTTATGATATGCTTCCTCTTGAACATTTTAAAAATGCATTTCCTTGCTATCTACAAATTGAAAATCTCGTAATAGATACTGCAAAGCAGGCATCCATGAATAAGATACGGTCCCTGACCGGAGGAGCTAACAACACTAGAGATGGGAGAGAAAATGTATTCAGAGCTGCTGCCATAGAAGGCTGATTGTGGTAAGTGGCTTTAGTGGTACAAAAAAATCGTTTTAAGAACTGAGGCAGGAGGAAATGGATCTGGCGGGAAGAGCTAATATTTTTCATAGAGTTAAAGCCAACCAAGCAATATGTTTTATTTTCATTGTAATAGAGATATTTTAATGACACACAGTGCACACAAAGCTCTAATAATAGCAGAATGTTTATTTCTGTGATAATATTTGTTCAATGAATCCGAAAAAAAAAATGCTGTCTTCTGATCTGGGCGCTTCTTAGTCTGCTATCAACAGCATGCCCCAGAAGGTCCCCAGTCACTGACGTGAAATCCAATTCCACCAGAGAACTCTGTCTCCATTGTTCCATATGTGAGTGTAGTTATTGGGGTTTGAGGGAGCCAGAAAAACCTGCACCCCTCTTGTCATTTGGGTTCTGAACCAAGGGGATAATAAGGTTTAAGATTGAGGCATATTGGAGGCCAGTATGTTATTCATATTATTATTGAGGCTGATATAAGGTAGTGTAGTTTCTTTTAATGGGATAGCAGGCTTACTAACACTGAATCCCAGAAGTAGAAAAACTTAACCATATCAACCCTGCTATGTTGAGAATACATGCACTGTTGAGAATGTAAAGCACAGGGCATGGAGAAATTGAGTAGAATGCATGCTTCCTACAGGTAATTTCAAATCTCATAGCAGGAAAAGGGAGATGAAAGGCCAAGATTGTGCAAGTTCATATCTTAGTCACGAAAAGTCAGGCACATCAGCTGTGCTCTTCCCTAGTGAGGAGTGAGTGAAGAGGGAGGAGGGTACAGGGTCCCTATAGTAACAAAGACCTTTCCTCATGGAAGTGTGGGCGGGGAAACACTTCCACATTCCCCCAGCTCCCCCAACAGTATCCCTGGGAATTAAGTTGGAGTCCATGTAGCAAAGATAATGCTTGTTATCCCCACTTGAAAGAATCAATAGCACATTGGATGAAATGCAATAAAAAAAGAACACTCAAAATCACAGATATACTTCTTTGTTCTGTCCTCTGCCTCCTAGAGGATCTATCTTCTTCTCATGTCCATTAAATCTTAGCCACAGAAAATCCTGCCTTGGTTTACTATTAATTTCTTTACACCTTAAAACTATCATTTAATGAGCAGTCATCACCGTTCAGGGTGTGATGCTGAGGGAAGTCAGATTCTTAGGACATGTGGCTAGTCCATTATTTTATCCTAAATTGTTAGGTCCTCATTCTGTGTGTGTGTGTGTGTGTGTGTGTGTGAGAGAGAGAGAGAGAGAGAGAGAGAGAGAGAAATAGAGAGACAAAGAGAAATCCCAGGTTCCCATTAGTCTTTTCTGTTCTTACTGAGTTCCTACTTATTCAAGACTCCATAGCTCAATTCAAATCCCCTGGATCTGCCCACTCTTAATTCTTACTGTCACAGCTAGAAAGAACTACGCGTCTATTCTTTATGTAGAGACCAGCAGAATACATCTGATCTTCAAAATCCAAATTACAGGCAGATACGTAAGGAAACAAAACATTCACATAGGAACAAAACGTGTCAACATGTGTTAAGAGTCAGGCAGCCTACCTAACCAGGAAACTGAGATCAGTCTCAACCAACCATGCAGTCTTGATGAGATACTTCAACCTCTTGGCTCCTTGTCCTATTTCCTGTAAAATATGGGAGCAGAATTTTATTATTTTTGAGATCAGTGGGCATGACTTAGTGGTTAAAATATTATTTTAAACGTAAAATTATGTATTACACATTTTTCTTATAAAAATTCAAGTAATACTCAAGCAGAATAAAAAGCTTAAGTCTTTTTAAAAAAGATTTATTTATTTATTTGGAAGGCAGAGTTACAGGCAGTGAGAGAGAGAGAGAGAGAGAGAGAGAGAGAGAGGTCTTCCATATGCTGATTCACTCCCCAAATGGCTGCAATGGTTGGAGATGAGCTTATCTGAAGCCAGGAGCCAGGAGCTTCTTCTGGGTCTCCCACGAGGGTACAGGGGCCCAAGGACTTGGGTCATCTTCTACTGCTTTCCCAAGCCATAGCAGAGAACTGGATCAGAAGTGGAGAAGCTGGGACATGAACCAGAACCCATATGGGATGCCAGCACTTCAGGCAGTGGCTTTACCCACTCTGCCACAGCACCAGCCCCAAAAATTTAAGCCTTATTCCCTAATCTACCAGATGTATTTTCCTCTCCAGGTGTAATTTTATGGGGCTATATTTCTATGGATTTGCTTATTAGTGTACATATCTTTGTAATACTACATTTCCCATAATCAAGACTATGATAATATACTATTCTATAATCTTTTTTCACTAAACTATATACAAAGCTTTCTTTTTGTTTTGGCACATGACATCTACCCATCCAATACTGCCAGAGACATTAGATTAAAGATGCCATGTGCTCTATGAATCACTCCTTTTTATGAATCCTTAGGTTGATATCGTTTTTGTTTTCACAAACAAATGCTACAATAAATATCTCCATGCATGTCTCTTTGTACATGTATGCCTGTATTTCCTAGAAGAGAGATACCCAGAAGTAGAATTTATGTGGCAAGTGTCCACATATTTAAATGTAGATAGACAACTGAATGGGTGAGATTTCAGAAGTGGTGATTGGAACTCACTACTTACTTCCTTGATGTTTTGTCTGTTCTACTAATATTCCAAAGTAATGTCCAAAATACAATTCTCATTTCCCTCTTTGATTCTATTTTTTTAAGATTTGTTTTATTTATTTGAGACAAAGTTTTAGAGAGAAGGAGAGCCAGAGAGAGAGAAAGAGAGAGAGAGAGAGGTCTTCCATCCTCTGGTTCACTCCCCAAATGGTTGCAATGGCCAGAACTGAACTGATCTGAAGCCAGGAGCCAGGAGCTTCTTCTGAGTCTCCCACATGGGTACAGGGGACCAAGGACTTGGGCCATCTTCCACTGCTTTCCCAGGTTATAGCATAGAGCTGAATTGGAAGTGGAGCAGCTGGGTCTCGAACCGGCGCCCATATGGGATGCCAGCACAGCAGGCTGGGTCTTTAATCAGCTGTGCCGCAGTGCTGGCCCCATCCTTGAATCTATCTCTTGTTCAGTCTTTCTCACTATATAAAATAGTATACTAGAATTTCAGTTCCCAGCCCACAAGTCAGCCTGTATTTCTATGCTTTTCTTGTCCTTTGAGACCAATTCTTCTGCAAGAGTTAGTTTAGCCTTCAAAGTATAACTAGGATTCATCTACTTTCTTCAGTCACCACCATTACCACCTTAGTCTAAGCCATTATCCTCTCTGAACTAGTCTATAGCAATAATTCTCTGACAGATCTTCTTACTTCTATTTCTCCCATCCAAAATGCTTTATCTGTATGGCAACCAGAGAAATTTTCTTTTTTTTTAGAAAAAAAAAATTTTTTTGACAGGCAGAGTGGACAGTGAGAGAGAGAGAGAGAGAGACAGGGAGAAAGGTCTTCCTTAATGTTGGTTCACCCTCGAATGGCCGTTGCCTCCGGCGGCCGGCACACTGCACTGATCTGAAGCCAGGAGCCAGGTGCTTCTCCTGGTCTCCCATGGGGTGCAGGGCCCAAGCACTTGGGCCATCCTCCACTGCCTTTCTGGGCCACAGGAGAGAGCTGGCCTGGAAGAGGAGCAACCGGGACAGAATCTGGCATCCCAACTGGGACTAGAAGCCAGTTTGCCAGAGCCGCAGGCGGAGGATTAGCCTATTGAGCCACAGTGCTGGCCTAGAAAAAAATTTTTTTTATTTGACAGGCAGAGTTGGACAGTGAGAGAGAGACAGAGAGAAAGGTCTTCCTTCCATTGGTTCACCCACCAAATGGTTGCTGCGGCCGGCGCGCTGCGCCGATCTTAAGCTAGCAGCCAGGTTCTTCTTCCTGGTCTCCCATGCGGATGCAGGGCCCAAGCACTTGGGCCATCCTCCATTGTCCTCCTGGGCCACAGCAGAGAGCTGGACTGGAAGAGGAACAACCGGGACTAGAATCCGGTGCCCATATGGGATGCCGGTGCCGCAGGTGGAGGATCAACCAAGTGAGCCACGGTACCGGCCCCGAGAAATATTTTTTTTAAAAAACAAACTTGATTATGTTACTTTTGGGCTTTGAATTTTTCCGTGACTTCCAAATTAATTAAAAATAGAATATAGGGGCTGGTGCTGTGGTGTAGCAGGTTGAGCTGCCATCTGCCATGCCAGCGTCCCATATGGGCACCAGTTCGAGTCCCAGCTGTTCCACTTCTGATCCAGCTCCTTGCTAGTGTACTTGGGAAAGCAGCAGAGATGGCCTCAAGTGCTTGGGCTCCTGACTTATGTGGGAGATCTGGATGAAGCTCCTGGCCCCTGGCTTCGGGCTGGCCCAGCCCCAGCTGTTGCAACCATTTGGGAAGTGAACCAGCAGATGGAAGATCTCTTTCTCTCTCTCTCTCTCTCTCTCTCTCTCTCTCTGCCTCTCTCTCTGTAATTCTGACTTCCAAATAAGTAAGTGAATCTTAAAAAAAGAAAGAATCTAACCTTCTTTCATAGCCTCCTAGACCATACATGACCTTACTGCAGCTCTCCAACCTCTCCAGCCTCATTTGGGACCACCCACTTATTATATTTTAGCTATTCTTGTTTCCATTTAATGGCCTGACCTTATTCCATTCCCACTTCAGACACTTCACACTCCCCTGACCCCGTCCCTGCTCCAGTAGGGGAGCTCTTTTCCCATTCTTTGCGCAGCAGGCTCCTTTTTATTTTTAGTTCTCAGCTTAATGTGCTGTCTTCAGAGATGCTTTCTCTTGCTTTCCTCAGTCTAGCAGCCCCGTTTCTCTGCCCCAGCTACTTTCTATCAAATCACTTCATTGATTTCCTTCATAACTCTTACTAGAATCCAAAATTACCTCGTTTAGTTATTTGTTTACTTGTTTGTTAACTGGATCTCCCACTTCCAGGTACGTTCTGTTGGGATATGGATGCTGTGGAGCTTGTCCTCCATCCCTTGCGTTTTGTAGCTGCTCAGCAGATGGGCTGAATGAGTGAAGGAAGTCCTTCCAGCAGAGACAATACCTGCTACATGCAAGGCCGAGGGACAGGAGAATACTGAGCAAGATCACGACTGGAGAGGATTGAAGGTGACTGGGAAGGGTTGCTGAGCAGCAAATAACGAGAGGAAGGTTGGAAGGAAAATCCCCACCAGGTTGCAGAGGGTCTATGATGAATTTACCTTCCCTGTGCTCTGAACTCTGGTGCGGCTTGCCGTCACATCATATTAAATTGCTACGAGCAAGAACTTGTATTTGAGGGGCTGTGTTGTGCATCCCAGGATTTGACACTAGTTCTAGAGTTCTAGTTTTTGAAAGTTGCTCTTGGCACATCTGCTTTATATTTCACTCCCAAGAAAGCTCAGTATTTCTTTAAATTCACAACTTGTTCTTCTAGATTTGTCATGATTTGATTTTATATTGAAGGCTTTGAGTAGCTTTTAATGATTTAGCTTTTTTGTTTTAAACTGTATCAGTTTGAAATGTTTTGAAACTGATATTTCAGTTTATATTACATCACTTTGATTATTGGTGAATTTGGATGATTTTTAAACTTTTTAATTATATTCTTTTTGGATGAATTTTTCAAAAGATTTATTTATTTATTTGAGAGGTAGAGCTACAGACAGATGGAGAGACAGAGAGAGGTCTTCTGTCTGCTGGTTCACTCCCCAAATGATTGCAATGGCTGGAGCTGAGGTGATCTAAAGCCAGGAGCCAGGAGCTTCTTCCAGGTCTCCCATGTGGGTAGCAGAGGTCCAAGCACCTGGGCCTTCCTCTGCAGCTTTTACAGGTGCATTTTCAAGGAGCTGGATTGGAAGTGGAGCAACCAGGACTCAACCAGTGCCCATATGGGATGCCAGTGCCTCAGGTGGGGGCTTTAACCTGCTGTGCCACAGCACCGGTATCTCATGGAGAAGGCACTGATGCCTCTGAGCTTCTGTATCTGTCTGTCCTCAAGAATGTCAGTCCCCCAGGGGAAGAGTAGGGGATCCCTACTCCAGGCAGAGCGAAGACCAAGGCCTCAGCCCACCTGCCAGGCCTTGGAAGACCTTCCAGTCAGGGCACTCCCCTCCCCTTGTGCTTTGGAATCTGGCAAGAGGGGCAAGAACAGACCGACTTTTGCTATTAATATGGGAATCAAAGAAAAATGTGATGTTTTACATAGAGGGTATCTCACAAGCATTTAACTGCAGCAGAGGTGCCCATATGAACCCTGCTATATATCTAAGTGAGGCTAGTAGAGGACGTCGCGTCATAGAGAACCATTTTATTGTTGTTATGTGAACATTAAGGCAAGCAATGTAAAGCACCAGACTAGCATCAATTTTATAGAGCAGTGAACTTTCTAAACTGTAAAATCTAAGCCACACTTTCCATTCTCATCCTCAAAGTTTGTCCTTTGTTGTTAATATGTCACCATTAGATTAAAGAAGCTCAAAGTGGCTGTAATTGAGCTGTTATTTGCTTCTTATTTTAGCCTTAAGTTAGCATATTAATAAAATAGCATATGAGAATCCTGCTGTGTAAATTGTAAGCTAAATTTTCAGAATGGATTTGTAGCCTGGTAACAGCAGAGACTTTAGTGGAATATCACTAATTTTCTTCTTTATCTAGGCCCTTTGTTATTTTTTCTTTCTAGTATACAAAATAATCTTAAAATGAATTCTTCAGACTGTAATTTTGGAGACTAGAAGGAAAAAAGAGAAAGAAAGGGAAAAATGAAAGAAGGCAGATCAAAAGGCGAAGGAAAGAGAAAAAAGGGGAGAATAAATAAAAGAAAAACTGGGGCCAGTACTGTGCCGTAGCAAGTAAAGCTGCTACCTGCAGTGCTGGCATCCCATATGGACTCTAGTTTGAGTCCTGGTTGCTCCACTTCAGATCCAGCACTTTTATATGACCTGGGAAAGCAGTAGAAGATGGCCCAAGACCTTGAGCCCATGCACCCATGTGGGAGACCTGGAAAAAGTGCCAGGCTCCTGGCTCGGACCAGCCCGGCTCCAGTTGTTGCAGCCAATTGGGGAGTGAACCAGTGGATGGAAGACCTCTCTTTGTCTCTCCTTCTCTCTCTGTCTCTGTGACTTTCACTTTCAAATAAATAAATGAATCTTTTTTCAAAAAAAAAAAAATAAAAAACCAAGACTTTTTTTCCTCTTTTCAAGGTCCTCAATTTCCTTTTGATTCATGATAATGTTAGAATTATAGTTTTTCTTTGATAATAATCTATTTAATCTTATTTTACTAGCTCATATTTAAGGACCATTTTGAGGGGGCCTGTGGGGAGCAACTCGGACTAGACTAAGTTACTGGAATTAAGACGTATTCTATGCATCTGCTCTCCCACAATATGGCGCTGGGAGAGGAGGAAACAGCTTCTACACAGCTGCCTCCAGTTCAACCAATAAACAGCAGGACCTGCTCCTGATTGGAGGAGAGCAGCGTACTCGGCGTGTGGGTAGCAGAGTTGGGATTGGTGGAAGAGGACTATAAAGGAGGAGAGAGACAACATGCACGAGGAACATCTAAAGGGAACATCTATCTGAAGGAACACCTGAGCAGCCCCCGAGAGAGCCGGCCGGCAGTGTGCCGCTCCCCCGTGGAAGTGGGGAAAGTGGCAGGGGGAGCCGCCCTTCCACAGAGGTGGAAGGGGTCGGTAGCCAACCTGGGAAGGACCAGCAGCAAACCCAGGAAGGGCCGAGCAGACAAAAAAACAGCGCAGGGTCCTGTGTCGTTCCTCCGCGAAATGGGGGAGCGACAGGGGCCGATGCTGTGGCGTGGTGGACTGAGCTCCCACCTGTGGCACCTGTGTCCTATATAGCCACCAGTTTGTGTCCCAGCTGCTCCTCTTCCAATCCAGCTCTGTTTGTGGTCTGGGAAAACAATGGAGGATGGCCCAGGTGCTTGGGCCCCTTCACTCACATAGGGGACCTGGAGGAAGCTCCTGGCTCCTGGCTTCGGATCAGCTCAAATCTGGCCATTTCAGCCATCTAGGGAATGAACCAGAAGATGGAAGACTTTTTCTCTGCCTCTCCCTCTCTGTAACTCTACCCCTCAAATAAATAAATAAAATCTTTAAAAAATAATTTTGAAACAGTTAGAGATTGGCATAAAGTTGCAAAAATGTATTTTGAAACAATAGCACAGATTTATATAAGGTTGCACAGAGAAGTCTAGTGTTTCCTTGCCTCAGTTTTCCTCAATGCTGTCTTACTGTTTCACTACAGTCCACAAGCAAAGCCAAGAAAATTGACTTTGGTGCAGTGAGAGTGTACAATTCTGTGCCATTTAGCACATTGTAGACTGATGTGACCCCTGCAGTCAAGATACAGCACCAACCCCATACCACAATGTTCTCCTCTTTCTACCCCTGTGTGTTCATATCTCTTCCTCATCTCTCTTCCCCATCCTTAACTCTTGAAAACAGCTAATCTGTTTCTCAGTATAATTCTGTTGTTTCAATAATGTTATGTAGATAGTGTCAGTACTCATAATAGTATTTTGAGGTTGGCTTTTTCCACTCAGTGTGATTTTCTTCAGATCCATTCTTCTGGCTCTGTGTATTAATAGTTTGAACCTGAGGAATGTGTTCAGATATTGATGGATGCTAAGATGCCCCTTACTTCAGGAAGGCATTAGTTAGATAACCATATTTCAGTTCTGGGACACAAGGAAACCAAATGGCCTAGTCATTCCCTTTCATTTAGGTCCCTGTTCTATGCACGTGCCAAGTGCTCTCCTACAAGTGCCCACTTCTCCACAACTCCTGTTCAGATCTCTCCTTCACAAAATTTCTTGCTGAATATTGTAGTTGACTGGTTTCCTCCTCTCTTGCATACCTTGTTCAAAGAGTCATTGCATACTTGCCTTCCTCTCTGTGTTTATTACATCTTGTTCTTTCCCTTATTGACTACATTGCCATATTTTTTCTCCTTTTTTAGTGTGAGTGCCTCTTGAGGCAGGGAGAATCTTCTTGCAATTCCTGCAAATAAATGACCTGTTCTCAATAAATGTTTGTTGTATTGATTTTGAGTTTAAGGAAATTAGGTTATGGGTTCTGAGTTTCTTGTCAAATGGAAATCATAAAGGTAGGCTTAAAAACAATTCTGATGCCTGGTTTGACCCTCAGGGTTTTCAATTTACTTGATCTTGAGGTGCAGCCAGGCTACTAGAAATTGAAAAGCTTCCCAAATGGTGCTATAGGGCAGATCTTGAACCACTGTTTTGGCCAAGATCAAAAATCCCTGAATTAGAGGGATTGGAGGAGACATTGTTTTAGCTGTACCTGTCCACAATACTTTCTTTTGTTGTCAAAAACAAGTATTTTTTCACATTTTGATGCTTAGAAGCCTTCTATTGGGTGTGTTTTTCTCGCCGCTATGACCTGAAGCCAGGAGCCAGGTACTTCCTCCTGGTCTCTCATGCGGGTGCAGGGACCCAAGCACTTGGGTCATCCTCCGTACCCTCCCAGGCCACAGCAGAGAGCTGGACTGGAAGAGGAGCAACCGGGACTAGTAGCCGGCACCCCAACCAGGACTAGAATCCGGGGTGCTGGCGCCACAGGCAAAGGATTAGCCAAGTGAGCCAAGGCACCAGCTGCCTTCTACCGTTAACAGAAAGGTTTATGTATGAGTCAGAAGATGACTGTGTAAATCTTGCCTGTTATTTTGAGTTTATGGAATATAGTTTGCAAATAGGAAATGTGTGTTCTCTACTCTCCATAAAGTTCAAAGCACATTTCTGAGGTCTCCAAAGTATTCACTAACCAGTGGTCTCACGTTGATCAGCTGGGGAGTTTCAAAGATCCTAATGCCCAGGCCGCACCTCATACCAGGAAGGTGAAATTCTCTTGGGAAACGACCTAGGCATCAGCACTTGGTGAAGCTCCCAAGTGATTCCAACGTGCAAGCTGAGATTGAAGACCCACTGTCCTAAACAAATATGTTCCTGTTTATCTTCAAACACATGCACATTAGGACGTTTGGTTTACACGGATTCATGATTATATTAATCCATTGAAAACATAAGCATCACTTTATGCTCATACTTAAAAAAAACTTGGCTGTCATAAATGTATGCATGACATTGTGCTA